GGTTCTCCACCCTCACCCCTGGAAAGTACAAACTGCCCCCCGCCGACACCTGAGACCCCCTCCACCGGGGCCCGCGAACCCGAAGACACGAACGCGAGGGGCCCGGAACAAGGGCCCGTTTTCCAATGACGTCCGGGAAGGGCCAGCCCGTAGGGACGTTTTTGTCACATTTCGATGCACCAGGCCCCCCTCCCGACAATTTCGACGTGCAGTCACCGTTCGATGCGCGGATCGAACAGCCGCGAGTCGGCGTGCGGACCCTGCACGGAAATTCGTATGGAAGGCCCAAGGGGGCCTCGTGTCCCGCGCGCCTACAAATACGAGCGGCGCCCTGGGCATTGACGATGCGTTTTGCGTTTTTTGCTGGGGAGATGCTGCCCGACAGAAGCCACGCACCGCCACTGTCGTCAACAGCTGGCGCGCCATAGCTGGCAAAACCATTCTTCACCGCGCACGTTTCGTGGCACCGACGCACCCCACATGCCCTCGCATGTCCCTCCGCCTACCAAGTCGCTGTCCACATCATATTCGACGTCGCTCCCGATCTCCTTTCTCGGAAGGCGCGACCGCCACCCCACGCAGCACCCCAGCAAACGCGAAGTGCACGCCCAAAGGTGGACAGAGTGTCGTCACGACAAACGCCGGGGTTCGCGCTCATCTTCACTCGGCAGTTCCACACGGCGAGTGTGCACGCAGTCGGGATGTATGTTTGCATGAGCGCGCGTGCGGGGGAGGTTTTTTGTGACGAGATGCTCGCGCAGATCGAAAGATTTTGTGGCTGCATGTGTGCGGGAAGGCGTGTGTGTGTGTGTGTGTGTTTGTGTGCGATTGTGTGTTTGTGCGTGCTTCATTGTGTGTGTGTGTGTGTGTGTGTGTGTGTTCGAGTGCGTGTTCCTTTGTGTTTGTGTTTGTATTGAAGTGTGTGCCACACACGCGAGGCAGGATCGTGCGCACTTCTGTACACGAGGGGCGTGTGTGTGCGGGCGCCGTGTGTCGGCGCGTGTGTGTGTGCGTGTGTGTGCCTGTCTGTGCATATGTGTTCGCGTGCGTGTGTGTTCACGTGCGTTTTCCGTGGGGAGATGCGCGCGAACGTGCGCGGTCAGGGACGAACGCCATGGTTCGCCCTTCAATTCCGCTTGGGTGTGGATGTGTAAGGACGTGTGAGGAGAGTATCAACAAACGATTGCGCTCGTGCTGTACTCAAGTGGCGAAGCACGGAAGCTCGGATCGAACACTCGGCGGCCAATAACGAAACACAACGTCATCGTGAGCACTTGCCATACCTGATTGGTTTTGTGTGCTGTCCCAATGTCATGTCCGCTGATCTGCCCAATGGATGATCAATCGAAACACGCGGTGGCAATATCGACACAGCAAACGCATCCATCGACCAATCGCGAAACACGATTAGATCACTCGCGATCGAATGATTGGTCGTGTCTGTCGTGTCGACGTTACCACCGCGTGTGTGTTATTCAATCTGTCGTGTGTGTTCAGATCACTCGTGATCTGATGGTCGATCAGATCCATGGCAATATGTACACCACACACGTGATGAACCGACCCATCACGAAACGCAAGCCGACCACTCGCGATCGGGTGATAGATGCTGTTTGCTTCCCCAACAACAACGCCGCCGATCTGCCCGACGGATGATTAACCAATGCACGAGGCGACAACGCATCCAACCGACCAATCGTGAAACGACAGAAGATTACTTGCGATCGGATGATTGATCGTGTGTGTTGCACCGAAGATCAACCCGCCAGCGAGCGACCTGTTTATTTACGCACCTGACAGTCCTCGACCGAACCGTCGATCGGTCAGGAAATCTGCCAGGATCAACTGATTGGTCGACAACTTGGTTGGCGATTGCTCTGCTGGTTGATCAACCACCACACCAACCGCCAACCGAGCAGCCGATCAACCAATCGACTGTTCTGTGCTAATTGATCCTGGAGAATGATCGCGGAGAATCCTCAAGGCAAATGATCATATGCACGATCGAAACCGGCAAACGAAACGCACAACCGATCGGAAAAACGTCGATCCCGATCTTCGAACGAATAAAAAGCACTTCGTCACAATCTTGTTGCACATTGAGCCTCGTATAACATCGAACCATGCTGACCACGGAACTTGGCTCCACATCAAACCTCGGCGGGCGTCGAACCTCGTCGGCGTCGAACTTTGGAGGACGTAGGGTCATCGAACGGTGAACGTTGAGCACCCACCACCCCACGCGTCGCCGGCATTGTTCTCGAGATCGGAACGTGGCCGTTCCAACCGAACAGATCGCGCAATCAAACACCGGAAGAAGTTGGGATCCCAGCGAGCTTGTGCAGCTGTTCGAACACGCTTCTCAACCCCGGTGCGCAACCACAGCCAGGGACGTGGAAAATTAGAAGTCCGTCGGGATCCGAACTTCAAGAAATTGCTGGATGGTGAGTTTGGCAGACACGTGTTCGTCTCCCATGCAATTTTGCCAAGTTCGGATCCTGGCGAACTTCATGCAGCTGTTTGAACACGCTTCGCAACCCTGGTCCCCAACCACAGCCTGGGACGTGTAAAAATTGGAAGTCCGCCGGGATCCGAACTTGAAGAAATTGCTGGACGGCGAGTTCGACAGACAGGTGTATGTCTCCCACGCAATTTCGCCAAGTCCGGATCCCGGCGAACTTCATGCAGCTGATCGAACACGCTTCGCAACCCCGGTCCGCAACCACAGCCTGGGACGTGCAAAAATATGAAGTCCGTCGGGATCCGAACTTCAAGAAATTGCAGGACGGCGAGTTTGGCAGACAGGTGTGTCTCTCCCACGTAATTTCGCCAAGTTCGGATCCCGGCCAACTACAGGTTCCTGCTGGCCTGCGGATCCAAACCTCTATCGCACTATTCCTTGCACACTCGTCGAGTCCAAACCTCGGCGAACCTCGGATCCGTGATAATGCAAAGTCCGCCAGGATCCGGACTTCTACTGCACTCGCACAGACGTCAAGTTCGCACCCTGGCGACTTCGCTTGTCTCAATGTGCGGGTTCAGAACGCGGGTTTCTCACAACTTTGTATTTGAAAAAATGTGTAGCCCGCCAGTTGATTCTCTCCCACGCGGTCTCAAGAAGTTCGGATCCCGGCGAATACCCTCCCGTGGATCCGGACCTCGTGTGGCAAGTTTGGACCCTGACGAACTTCGCGTCGCGCATGGTGTGGGTACTGACTGTGTCCTTTCTCGCGAACGGGTGTTTGCCATAACTTTTATTTCGCAAAGATGCGAAGTCTGCCGGGATCCGTACTTCTCGTGCAAAGGTTCCTCGTCCCATCGTCGGGTTCCCCTGCTGGGCCGTGGATCCGAACCTGTTGTCTTCATTTCGCAATGCATGTGGCAGGAGATGTTCCTTTCACAAGTTCGGATCCCGGCAAATTTGCCAAGTTCGGATCCCAACGAATTTGAGTTGTCTTCCTTTCGCAATGCATGTGGCAGGAGATGTTCCTGCTGGCCCGTGGATCAGAACCTGCCGTGCACGGTTCCTCAGACAATCGTAAATTTCGGATCACGGTGGACTATGGATTCTATAAAATGCAAAGTCCGCTGAGATCTGAACTTTCCGTGCACGGTTCGTCGGAAAACCGTCGACTTTGGACCCCGACGTGCTTCACCTTTCGGGTGATGCGGGTTCTGACTATGGACTTCCTGGCGACCGGTGGATTGCCACAACTTTTCATTCGTGCGAAATTAAAGTCCGCATGGACCCAACTTCTTGGCAGTTTTGGACGTCGGGTTTGGGAGACAGCTTCGTCCTTCCCACGCAGTCTCGCCAAGTTCAGATCCAGGCGAACATGTCATAGGGCGTGTTTGCGGCTGGCCTGCGGGCTGGTAGATGTGAACATCGACGAAGCCGACCACCCGAAATCGGATCTTGGGGCATACAATGCGTCTAATGCCATGGGTCGCACATCGCGAGACATGACGCGTTTACGAGTGTCTCCGTGCCCGTGTGTGTCGTCGGGCATATGCGCGTGGTGTGCAGGTTGCGTGATGGAGGGGACCTTCTCGACACCACGCATCTTCGAGTCGATCTTCTCGAGACCACAGGCTATGAGTGCCGAGATGCACATTCGCTTAGCAAAACCTTTTCGTCCTTGTGCGAAATCCGTGTAGCATTTCAACAGTGTGACGACGATCCACGGAGCGACCGCAGAGGACTTCGACGAGGACCCATGGATGACCGTTGTTCCGTGCAGGGACGCGCATCTTGACGACTGGGGCGAGGGCAATTGGGCTAGTATGGAGAGTCGCTGCCCTTGGGCAAGCCAGTACAAGTTCGCGAATATGTTGGAGTTCGGGGACCTCATCCCACTGCCTGACGCCGTCCTCGGACATAAGTTCTTGAACCATATGCGGAAAGCACTAAGCTGCATTAGTTGTTATTTCAGCCGCCTCGAGTGCCACAACCTCAGGTCGTCGCCACGAACTTGGGGTGGCTCGCGGAAACAAGAGTTGGTGGACTGCGCTCGTCGCTGCTTGTTCCTTGACTAGTACCCGCTCCGTTGCCTCGGGATTTCTCCACGAGCTGTGTCGTCCTGCTGTGTGCGGTTGACTGTGTCCGGATCGGATTTCGTCAGAGTTCTGTGTGTCGCTGCTTCGAACAAGAGCAGGAAACTCGTCGACGCAGTTGTGCTCGTGTCGTGCAACGAGGTTGTGATTGAAGGGTCCAAATTCGTGCCGATGCGTGGGCCTGAACGTGTGGATGGGTGGCCAGTTTTGGTGATAGCAGGTCAAGTTTGAAACTATTCATTGTTTCGTGAGGTTGAGGAGAAAGCGGCTGACATACGGGACTGCATAGGAAACTCCTTGGCACGACCGGGGGTGTTTGTTAGGATGAAATACATGTCCGGTTTTTCGGAGATTGCATCGGTCGACGAACCGCAGACCCTCGTCTACGGATCGTCACTGAATGCTTTGTTTGGCTTCGGTTCACGACGTCGTCCCGGAGGATCCCCAAATGTCGCCGCATCCGAACCGGTCTTTAGTCCTTCTGTTTTAGGGAAAAGAACGGCGAGAGACGAGATGCGGTTGTGTTGCCTAACATGTCAGATTTGTAGGACTGTAGAGAAGTGTGAGACTCCGCGGTTGCTGGTACACGCTGCACCGCGCGCTTGTCGTGCAAATCCCTGGTTGTCGTTCGGTTCAGTGACATGACGAAAGTCATGTTGGACGTTCGTCTCTAACGCCGTCTCCTGCCATGTCATGCCCCGACGAAGTTCGGATCTTGGCGAACTTCACGTTCTGGCCTCTCCATTAATTTGTCTCTGATGTCATTGGCGTCGGGCGGGCCGCAGGAAAGACCTATCACCGCGGAAGGATCTGCCCGTAACCGGTTTTCGCCCGTCCACCATCAACATGTGCCAAACAGTCGGTCACTGTCGTAGCGAGATGCCAAAAGCACTCTTAGAGATCCCCGTCGCCAGGTCGCGCGAGCTGCGCGTTTCCTGAAACCCGTTGGAGATCCCGGTTGGCGGGCCCTCTTGTTGGAGATCCCATTGGCACCGTGCTAGGACACCTTGTTAGGACCCCAACTTTTTGTCTGTCTCTCTTGCAGCCTCCTGAAGTTCGGATCCCGGCGAACTTCCTGTGATGCCTGTGTATTGAACGGGCGCTGGGCTTGATGATCCCCCGTGGATTGCGCCACGAGTCAAACCCTGATCCACAACTGCTCCTCCAGGGACTCATACAATGTTTTCGCGGCTGCTCGTTCGAACTTGGCTCCATCCAATGCCAAGCTGCGCATATCAGAAGAAGTTCGGATTTCGGCGAACTTGTCCTTCTCAAGCGGCCTTTTGTGTTAGTGCGGCCTTTCCGGGTCGTGATTCAGTCCAATCTGTGTTTGCCTGACGCCGTCTCTGCCTGTCGCATTTTCCTGAAGTTCGGATCCTGGCGAACTTCACGTTTCGGTGGGTGCGTTGGTTTGGCTTCGGACAGGCACTTTTAGTACGGATCTCGGCGAACTTCGCATCCTTAACTGTCCGGGTTCCTATTTCTAAACGGAGGACACTGCATCGTCCAACGCGTCACCACCCGTCCATTCCCGATCAGGTGGACATCCGTGTTCCGGAAAAACCGACGTGGTTGTCGCCCGGCTGCATGAAGCGTGTGCCCTTATAAAGAATGATCTCGTTGCAGGTAAGAGGTCATTGCTGGTCTTCTCGTTAGAAGTTCGCGGGATCCGAACTTCGAGGTCCTCGGATAGCGTCATGTGACCGACGTGTTGAGGTCAAGGTGTGCCTCCTCTGTTTTTCGCCTTCGTTGTGCTTTGTCTGCGATTTGATGCTCGCTGGTGTTTTATTTGTTTTCTGTTGTCGTCCGCTGACAATATTTCTTCGTCCAGGGGCGAAGGGGAGCCTGCAGCGACCTCCGGGATGGGATCTGGGAAAGATTCTACAAAACGGTCGTTTACGACCTCGAGGACGTGGTCTAACCACGCTAGGTCAAAATGGTTCGTGGACTGATGCTGTGCTGATGCTACGAACCCAATCCAACAGCCATGTGGTCCTGTGATCTTCGTCGAAGCCAATAAGCGCCGCCGGGTTCTGGGGGCTGTCTTGCGGTGGGAGAATGCGAAAGGCAGTCGTCGACGGTCTTACATGAAAAATGTGTACGGTTCGAAGGGGAACGTCGTCGCCGGTGCCAAGGGGGCAGTTCTCGACATGTGTCTGTTCGAGGGGTTCGGAGCGGGTGCTGTGAACACCCCGTTCTACAACGACCTCCGGCGGCAATGCGGGTTTGTTTTGGGTCGAGATTTCTTCAACCTGTTGTAGGACAAGGGCATCGCCCTCGACGTCCCTTGCGAAGTCGGTCCCGACCTGGAACTGTCAATGCCCTTGCAGCCGTGCGGCGGTTGTGAGTCGAGCGGGGCAGCGGGGGGAGGTGGGGGATCTGGGTTCCGGGAGGCTACACATGTGCAGCGGGAGGATGCCAGAGGTCAGTTTGACGACAGCGAAGATGAGGTGACACCGCGTCCGCTGTTTTCGCCGTCGAGGGAAAGAGACAAGTTCGTGCTGACCATACCTGGGGTCCGGCAACAGACTGCAGCGGATCCTAGAGAAGAGGGAGTCCTGTGGGGGGTTGACTTGGAGCCCGCCGAGGGCCATGGCGCGGAAGGCGGCGGAAGGCGAGGCCGTGGGCGGGGAGGGAGCGCAGGGCACTCCCCAAAAAAAGAGGGGAGAATGTCAAGAAGAGTTGGTGGGCTCTTCGAAGAAACAAAAGACCAAGACCCCGAGGACTGCGGGAGAGAAATGGAAGGGGAGGGGGGTGGAAGAGGGTCACCCGGGTAGCAAACGTCCAGCTTCGAAACATAAACAGCCTGAGTCGGGACCTTCTTCACCACGGCCTACCATCGACGTGGACGCCGGGTACTTCCTGGAGTACAAAGACGGCATCAAGATAAGGCAGGAGTTTGAGATCAGCCCGGCTCAGATCGTTGACATAAGGGAGTGGGAGGATCTTTACAACCAGCGGTCGCTAGATCCCGTCCTCGTGGAAACGATAAGGAAAGCAATGCGGTCTGCGTTCGAAAATAAAGAACAGACGTACGAGTTGCCGGTCTTCAAGCGCGCACCACTGGGGCTTCAAAAACCAACTCCTGGGACCAAGGCACAACGTCTGAAACCAGAGGAGTGGAAGGATGAGATGGCGGGAGAATACTACTACTACGCGGTGTGCGGGCAGCACAACGCGGCTGCAGCCAGGTCGCTGCTCGGCAGCGAGGTGGCCAAGAAGTACAATTTCGAGCGGTGGCCGGCACGGATGGTGTACTTTTTTTACGATGACTTCGAAGGGTATTTTCTTGTTAGTTCACAGGACAACAAGAAGGACCTGAAAGCGCCTCCCAGACAGCTCAAACTTTCTATGAAAGACATTCGATGGCAGTGGAAGCATGACGGTTGCCCGAGAGCTGTGATGGGGAACCCTAGCGGGAAACAAGATCAGGTTCGGGCTTGGCGTAAGTTTTGTACAACGGAGCTCCATAAGGCGCCTCAAAATAGCTTGTGGCTTCTCGCGGATCAAAAGGAAGAGGAGGCCATTAAGAAGCAAAATGTTGCCCTGCGTTCTTACTTACCTCTGGCGATGGCCGGGGAAAATGTATAGAAACTGGCTGTGGAATTTTTCAAAAAATGGGAGACGGGCAGATTGCTGAGCCACGATGGGGCGAAGTGGACTGTCAAAAAGAAGAAGTTCAAAAGTGTAAAGCCTGGGGTCACCTACATCCTCAACGACAAATTGGGCAGAACGGAGGTGGTGTACAACGTCCCCGTGGACCCGCCGAATAAAAAGGGCAAAAAGGAGAAAGAGCAGGGCGATTGGTTCGTGCAAGTGCCAGACCCGGACGCGCATTGTTGGAAAGCAATGGAATCACTCACAGACAATGAGAAGTGTCGCGTCCTGAAAAAGGTGCTTGCTTGCGAGGTCGTTTGGGTCCAGGCCGGCTCCCCGTCGTTGGCGAAGTTGGGAAAGCTCAGCGTGCAGGCCATGGTTCAGCTAGTGAAGTGCGACCGCGTGCTGGTCCGGTTGTGGAATTACTACCAATTCAAGCACGAGAAGAGGCCGGACGCGGACTGGATCCAAAGGTACCTTTCCTGAAATCGAGGTCTGCCGTGTTCAAGAAGTTTGAAGGTCAGGGATTGGATGACGAGTTGTGGGATAACAGCAGGAAACACGTTTCCGACTCGGCGCTGTCCAAGGACTGCCCGCCATACATGGGTTGCGACGAGGACAACTCGATTGAGGTGATGGAGAAGTTGGCGGGCCACAAGAAGTTGTTCGTCGACTGGAGAAACAAGGTTCTCTCCATGTTGAACGGAAGCAGACTGAAGAGCCGGGAAGTCGCACTTGCTGAAGGCGTCGTTCACATTAAATGGAAAGACACGAGGGACGTGACATCCATCGCGCCGTTCGCCAATGACCCTTTAGAGGCGGACATCAGGGGCGCAGAGCTGAAGGAGGCAGTGGTTGCCACAAAGAGCCACACGTTCGTCCTCGATCTGTGCGAGCCGGTTGACCTCAAACTGTGGAAGCCCCAAGCGTGGGAGACTTTGAATTCCTATCTTCAGACGTGGTGTCCCTCGCATTGGACTCTCGTTGTTTTCGTGCCGCGGCAGCACAACCTGTTGTTTCTCGCCAGCATGCACCATCTTTCTTTCGTCAAGCTGTTGGAAGGGAAGTGGGTGCGGAGAGAAGCAAAAAAAAAGCTTCCCCGTTGGGAACAATTTCTACACGGAGGAAGACCGCATGTACATCCTCTTCAAGGGTGACGATCTCCGCGTCAACACGTCCGTGGTCTACGAGGGAAACCTGCCCACGAGTGCCACGGCTGCTGTGCGATTGCCTCAGAGGGTCACCCAGACGGATGTGTCCGAGATTCCTTTCACGCCTTGCGACCGGTCGCTGGTGGTGCCTGAACGACAGGGCAGCGTCTACGGGGATATGGAATGCAATCCGACCCAATTCGTCGGTCTTCTTGATTTTCTTGGCAGGAAGGGAGAGGGTGTCGTGTTCCTTGGGAAACCGCACGCGCGAAGCGTTTGGGAGCTTCTGAAGGCCGACCGACACGTTGTCGCAATGGAAGGGAACTCCGACCTCTTGCAATTCACGATGCAGGTGGTGAAAAGCGAGGTCAATTCGAGTGGGCACAATTGTAAGTCCATGGTCGTGAGGCCAACACGGGATAAGGTGTGGAGCAAGAAGACGGATATGTGGTTCAAGTTGAGCGAGAGGAAGAGGAACAAGATATACGATTTCTTGTTCCTTCAAACGCGTCCGAGGAGGGACACTGACGCCGAGTACATCCGCCGGAAGGACCACATGTTGGCACTGCTCGACAACTACCACTTCGCCTCCCGCATGAACGCGAAGACGTTTATCGAAAGGCTGCAATCGCTGTACTTCGTGGAGTCCGAGGAGCAGTTGAAGTTAGCCAGTTATGCTTCCCTGATTTCCACTGACGACGAGGAAGCCATAGGTGTGGAGTTTGTCGCCAACGCGAAGGAGGAGGAGAGCGACACGGAGAGCATCGACCTGCAGTACGACCCGCCTCCGGCGGACGACGGCCGAGGGTCCTCGTCGGCCGGTCCATCACCAAGCGTTGCAGCCCTCATGTCACCATTGGCCAAACCGGCGCTGGGCACCATGCCGATGAAGTTGTTGGAGAGACATAGAGCTTTGGCCGCCCCCCCGCCCGCTTTGCGTCCCGGGTCCGTTGTCCCGCCCGATCATCCGTCTTGGAAGGATGACAACATCCCCTTCCTGCTTGAACCGCAACGTCATTCACCTGAGCAGGACTGGGGCCATGACMTGGTTTGGCATCCGGGAGTCATCCAGCCAGCGATACGAAATGGCGAGTGGGTCATGGCCGTGGCAATCCCGAGCGCGGGATGGGTGTCATTCCCATGCGAGTCGAAGTCCAACTTCCTGCACCTCGCGAGGATTTCGGTCCTCCAGAAAGTGAAGGTCGAAAATGACACTTTAGCACCCAGCGACCTGTCCCTCATTTCCACTGTTGGTCGACTGTTTGACGAGCTTCAGGACAAGTGCTGGTTGGAATTGACGGAGGACTACTACGAGCTCGACACGAGTCCGTCGAAGGGCGTGGTGGACTGGAAAGTGCCCCCTCCCTGTGGGTCGGACGGTGGTTCTGGGGGGGGGTCACCTGGAAGCGGAGGGGATGGGGGTGGCGACGCAGGGGGTGGCAAAGGAATCCCGCCTATGGGGGAGAGAGGGTCTCACGGCCGCAACACGACACTGGGAGGCAGCGCCAGGGTGGCAGGTTTCGCCATCGACCGGACTCCGTCGACAGGCACCCGGTCCGAGCACACGACACACTCCGCCGACCCCCAGACTTCGTCCGTGGGCTCAACGAGGGACACGTTGGCAGCCTTGGTTGCTCTGGGCATTCGCTCGGCCAGAAAGCCGAAGTCCGCCGGGATCCGAACTACGTCGGGTGAGGAGCCGCCAGAGCCGTCCGGAATGCGAAGCTGCTCGGGGTCGGGGGATCCAAGCACGGATCGAGAAATTCGCAGCATTGCGGCGCGGGACGGAGATGTCAGAACGGTGTCGCTTGCGCGGGAGCGACGGCCGCAAGGATTGCAGCGGGAGGCTGCAAGTACAGGGTCCGGTGACACGGAGGCCATGAAATCCGCCGAGATCCGAACTTCTTCAGGGGGGGTTTGTCGGCCAGGGATTGTCATGCCGTTGAGAGGGGCAGCTTGCACGGGGACGGAAGGGCGATCCTCGCGATTCGGCACGGGTACCGCGGAAGGGGATGAGTTTCGTGGAAGGGAAGTAGGGGAGGAAACGGAGGAACAGAAGGGAGTGCAAGAAGGGGAGGAAGAAGGGGAAGAAGAGGAGGAAGGGGAGGAAGCGGGAGAAACGGAGCTAATTGATTTGTTTGAAGGAAGGGAGGGTGTCGGGTCCGGAGAAGACGAAGTGGAACACAGGGAGGACAATGCCGGATCTGGAGAGTCGTCTGACGAGTTCGGACAACTGTACGGAGAGCATCACGAGGATGATGTCGACGACGATGCCACGACAATAGAGATGGAGACACAAGTGGTCAGCAGCCTTTCCACAGAGCCTGAAGATTATGCGGTCCGTCCACTGACGTCTGCTGTCGACTTGCAACACCGGTTCGACGAGGCTTCCGTCGCTATCAGCCCGTCTGAAAAAAGTCGACGTATAAGCATCGACGAAGTTATCGACGGTATCCTCGGTGACCACAACGTGTCTGCCCGTCCGTCCGCAACTGCCAACGTCACATCTTCCGTGGCAGCTGCCCTCGCTTCGTCGCCGCCGAAGTCTCTGGTGCTGCAGGCCACCCTTGCCGCCGAAGGCGAAGGCGAGTGCGGTGGAGGACAGCATTTGACGTCCCCCAAAAAATTGAGGTTCGGCGGTCAGGTTGTCGACGTGCTCGCTTTGCCTGCGCCAAATTCACCATCGAAGGAACGGAGAGAGAAACAGACAGGTAAGCCTTGAAGAACGCCTGCACATCCGGATGTCGCCGGATTACAGTCCGCGCTATACACACGACGACTGTCCACACTGTCTGTGCATACGAGAAGTTCCAGATGTCGGCATGCTACAGCATGCAGCCCTTCCTACTCCAGCTTGTCGGCCTATCAGTGACTCGGCCGGGTTGCTAGTCGAGGGCGGCGAAAACTTCGTCCAAAACCTTACACTCCATCCAAGGAAGGATCTGCCCCAGCTGAGGAAGTGGCCAAGGTGCTAAGAAAGTGGCCAAGTACATGGACTGACAGTTTTCCCTTCTCGGGAATAGTGTCGGTTTTAGTCCGCCGGGATCCGAACTTCC